TGATGATGTTGAAGACTTAGCTGTTGAAAATTGAAGGGATTTTCTTAACAGCGAGCTATTTCCTGTAAGTGCTTAAGGAAGTGATTATTTTAGATTAATATTCATTTTAAAAACTATCTTTACTCGAATTTTGCATTTAGTGTGTTCGCTCGGTTGAACTATGGTCAGCAGGAACGAAATCAGAGAAATCATCGATTCATAATGGTTATATACAAATGATTGATATTGCTAAACATTTTATATACATTGAAGTAGAGTAGTATAAAAACAAAAACAAAAACAATTTTTGATTGTTATTTCGTATTTAGAATCAGTTATTTATTACTATTGTTCAAGATTCAGTAGTTCAAAACCAATTAGCTAATGTTCTTTTTCGACGTATTATAGAACGAGCACATAAGTATGAACTATATTTTTTAATTCTATAACATTTTAAACAGTTTCTTTGGTTGATCAGAAATGCTAAAAAATTTTGTGTTTGCGTTGTTCTTCCTCTGTTACCTGATTTTGATAACATGAATACTGTACAAGCTGTACTCTATTTTATTATGATAAATCATTATTCAAAAGACTTGAAAATGCAGGCAAATTAATATTTTAAGAATAAAGATCAATTGCTTTTTAAATATATCATCGACACTAAACCTCAGTTATTTGATGACGAAACCCATCAATTTACGGTCTTCTTTATATACTTTAATTGAAAACTATGTCCAGCATATTTCTATATAACTTATTTAAAATAGAATTTTATTTTCTTGTTGTTTCTAGTTAAAAAAGCCAAAATAGAGTAAAATCTAGAAAACATTAACTAATGGATAATGAAACAGTTTTTTCGAATACAATCAGGTTTTCAGTCGTAATAGATATCTTTGAATTGATTTCAAGTACAATGAAAATGAATCTCTAATTCAAATATATATATCTAGTCATGCAACTTTATTTTTGATATTTAGGAATTCTACCAAAAGATTATATTAATTTTTTTGGTATGCGTAATCATGATATTCTAATGGGCCATCTAGTAAGTAAAATATTTTGTCATTGATACAATTCACATATTCGTTGTGTTGTTTTATATAACTGAAATAATATATGTTGATTCAAAATTAATGATCATTGGTGATCGTATGGCTATATGTGTTACTGCAAATATAAATGATCGTTTATTAGTTGGTAATCGTGATAGTGAATTGTGTATTGTAATAAATGATCTGGAAGAAGAAGATGATCGGTTTAATGAAGAGTCAGTTCTTGCAGCAAAAATTTTGTTCTAGCTGGCGTAAAAAGATCTTTGAGCATGTTTCATATCTAAAATTACTATGATTTCCATAGAAAACTATTTGACTTTTTAGGTTGCTGTTAGGTATTCGATTCGACATTCCAAATAACATTGAAGTAACTGATCGAGTATCAGATGAATTTTATTCTTATTTTCAAGATGTAGCAAAACAAAATACGTTGATTTATGAAAAAGTTTTTGCTACAATGAAAGTATATTTGCGAATGTATATATTTTATAGATATTTTGAATAATGTTTTTATTTTCTTTTTGAGACTCAACAAACATTGAAAGGTATTCAAGGATTTGTTATCGAATATCTAATATATTTTCTTAATAAAGAAAATTATTTACCTAGCATGAGAACTCGTGAAAGTAAGAATTGTCCGTTTCATTATCGATGATAAGTTTGGACAATTATCATAGGATGAATATCATAGATTCTTTTTATATTGAGAGAGAGAGAAAAGAATGTTTTTCTTCTAATCAATGATTAATACATTCATGTTTTATCATGAAAAACAAGAGGATGTGACATTTCCTATAATTTTCTGATCAGATCCACTAGTCTATGAACTATTTGTTATTTCATTTCTTTTTCCGTTTAAGCATAGCTTCACTTACAATATGGACTTAAAATATATATTTTTGTGAGGAAGACTACAAGTTAACAAGAAAATAAGTATTCGATTTATTAATATTATCGGTTGAGTCGATACTCTTTGTGCAATCATTCATTTTGTATTCTGTATTTTGGTGTTCTAAGCGTTTTTATCTTTTTTTTCTCCGTTCGATATCTTCCATCTATTTATTTACCTAATCAAATATTTTCATTTTACACATATAGGGTGTGGGTTTGTGGGGTAGAATGTCATTAATAGTTTTAGTCTCACACTCACACAAAAAAATTAATATTTTTTGGAAAAATTATAAACTAAATTGTGCAAATGTAAGATTAATCAACAAATTTTTACTCAAATGAACTCCTCCTAAGGCCGGTTTTTTCTTTCTGATTGACAAGAGAATTATTCAATCGAACTAACTTCTTTAAACAGTATATTAACGATTAGTTATACAATAGGATAAACTATATAGATACATAGATTTGAATGCAAATACTCTTTCGATTAGATCATAATATTATTTTTTTATTTTAAATAGAGTTCTCTTCATTTTAATTATATACGAAAGTATTCGATTAAAATAATTATTTTATTTTTCAAAGTTGACATTGCAAAATCAAACAAATAAGTAGTCAATGTTTTTTTTCACCTGAAATATTTAAAAAAAAGACTCATTTATTCTAACTGAATATTTGACTATTTTATTTCAAATCGAATAGTATCTGCTTGAATTGTTCTGTCAGTATTCTTTCATATCTTATGAAATATGAATTCATGAAGATTTATTCGAGTGTTTTTAGTTCTAATAAATGATTTCAAAATTGATAAATCATTTATTCACATCGGAATTATTTTGGTTTCTATTCATAGAATTTAACTGATATAGAACGATCGATTGAAATATTTTAAGATAAATTGAATTAGTTAATCTATTTTAATGAAAAGAATGGGAAATTCTTTTAAAAAATCTTCGAAAATATCTTAAACGATTATTTTAACAATAAAGTTGTTTTATTCAATATAAATAGACGAATATTGTTTATTGTCTTATCAATAATAACATTCGATGTTTTTATTACGCTTAAAAACAATTTATTAAAGAATAATTTTTGTTCAAATTAATCGTTAATCGAATCAACTTTTTTAAATATATATTTAGTAGGAGAGAATCGAAAGATTTTCTCTACGGCTTTTCCAAACGTAACGCTGTGACATAGTTTTTGTCGACCAATTTTGATGTACTTAACATGCTCAGAATGATTTCATTTTTATAAGTGTTCGTCTTTTCTGTATAACTAATCGTTCTACGCAAGAACGAGATCGATATATCGTCATGGATGAAGCTTACAAGAGACGGAATAAGTTAGAAACTGTATAAGAGTCTACAAATTTTCCTTAGCCACAACCGTCAAAACTAAATAGATTAACTTGTAGAGAATGAAATTCTGCATCGAAAGGTATGTTTCTCGATTTTGTTTAGAAAAATTTCTTGGTTATAGAACCCAAAATACGATTTTTACAAAAGTTTAAAACCCGGTTTTCAATGCCAAAAGCTAATTTTTGTACAAAATAAATGTCCAGGGGTCGCAGCCGAGGGGTACGAAGAAGAAGGATTTTGAGAAGGAATTTTTCATTAAAAAAGAAGGAAATTCGAATAAAAGAAGGAAAGGAAGGAAAAGAAGGAATTTTTCGGAATAGGGCGCTGCAATGAATAGATTTTATACGACATCCAGTTAGAAACAATAGGACTGAGTTCAAGGAGTAAAATAATTTTCGAATTATTATTTTGTCGCGTTTCAAGGACATTCTCCTTAGTGACGTAACCAGAAATAGTCGGGCGGTCGGGCACCGCTCTACAAACTCTAGGACGTTAACTGAGAGTAATGCACTATATCTTTTTTTAGACAGCGAAAGTACATTAAAGAATCTATCTTGAAAAGCAGATTTTATTTTTAAAATTGTGCTTAGTGTGTTCAATAGAGAAAAGATCCGAAGGTCGCAACATTTTATTTGAATAAAACTGCTATTTTTATGCAAATCAGTGAAATTGTTGATGAATTCTTCGAAGGAGACGTTGGACTGACGCTTCACTTCTAATATATATAAATCGCTCAGATGAATATCCAATATTGTATTAAGTATAGTCGTCTCTATTAATTTCATCTTGCTAAATGTTCGTTGAGAGGTGACGAATGACACTGATAGAGTTATAGCACCGATGACATATGATATTATTGTTTGAAATGCTGATTGTCCAAGTTAATAGTTCAAGTTAGAGATCATTTTGATATTTTCGGATTTTGAATTTTCAACATCGATTCAAGAACCAGAGATAAGCAAGAATAAGCTTGAGTTCAGATAAATTTCGAAGTTTATGCGTTTTCTTAGCAGAGCTTCGGTGGTGTATAAAAAGAATGAAGAGTTATAGTCAAAGTGGAGATTCGAAAAAAAGAAGTAAAATTACATGGTATGGGAGTGGCATATGGCCGAAATTTTTTATCTCTGTTAAGAAATTAAATTTGATTAAACAATAGACACAGCACAGCGTTTATATATATCGCCAGTTTTTTTTGACTCCTTCAATTGTCAACAATACTCCGTATCTCAACGCAATGTTGATATTCTATTTAAAATTTGCATTTCTGGAAGTGGACAGATACTTGATACTTAATAATGCACTTAATCGACTGATAAAATCAATATCAACTCAGAAATAAGGCAATATAGATCGTTCTGCTTTACTAATTTTACAGTTTTGAAAAAAAAATATGCCTTTCTTTAATCGGTAGTGGTTGGGCTGAGTCCAACTATGGCCTACTCTGGTTACGCCACTAATTCTTCTCGTTTTATAGCGAATAATAATAGAAAATGAATTTCAAAGACGAGCAGTCGTCTTCTTGATCGTGCGACATGCATGAAAGTTGTTGTCATCCCTATGTCTCAATGACTCTCTCGATAGTCTTACAGGTCATGCACACCAATCACTCACATGTATTGCCATGCTGTGTAGCGATCACAAAATTCGTGTATGATCAATCTATCCATTAATAGGCCGTTATAGATATGTAGCACCATCCTCGCTCTGTTCTTGAGAAAGAGGTAACACGCACACTAGTTACTTCTATCTCCAATAAAACTGCATCTTTTGTTATGTTAAACTATAATCTGACAATCGTGATTGAACATCGATACGCTACGAAAGACCATTCGCACAGACAGCTATAAGACTCTGACTATGAGATGGCTCAGCTTCCGCTACGCTGTGTCGCAGAGTAAAGGTTCGAAATTGTCGACAGTAACCGTATTATAGAGAAGCATCGTTTTACGTATCTCGAGTTCTGCATATGTGCCCCACATAGATTGAAGCCATACATGCATATTTTAGTCTAAGAATAACATACTGCACATTGGACTTGAGGTAAATAGAACATTTTCTGAAACTCTGAGAGCTCCCTATCAACGTCAAAGTCTAACTAAGTATTGCCAGTCACTTTTTTCCATGTTTCTGAGAATCTATTCGTATGAAATATAAAAAAGAAGGAAAAGAAGGATTTTAGGCTTAAAGAAGGACGAAGAAGGACATTGTAAAAAAAGAAGGAAAAAAGAAGGAAAGAAGGACCGCTGCGAGGCCTGAATGTCAAATTCATAATCAGCGTTCAAAACTGCATCTAGATACTCATTCAGATCTAGCCAACTCGAAAAAGAATTTTTTCGAAACTTAATCAGTGAAGTGTCGCGTTACGTGGACAAGCCGTCTAATAGTTAACAATCATGATGATTAATGTAGTTATTCTATAATTACATTAAGATATATGCAAAGAGTAAGAAGAGATTCGAAACTTTCCATAGGAAATGAAACAATCAAATACGTTCTAGATTTTTATATATTTATTAATAGGTTAAAGTAAAACGTTTAATTGGTAAAAAAAAATAATCTCGTCGAAAAGAACTTGTAAATGATAAATCCAGAACAATTGAAATTCATTTAAATCGAGATTCAAAATCGAATTTATATTCATCAATTAAATTGTCGATATAATCAAATAGATGATAGTTTATCAAATCGAACAGGAGCATCATTATCTCCATCAATAGGTGATGCACCAGCTGCTAGTCCTGAACAATCTTATATATTAGATTTAATACACATAACAAATGCTCATCTTGATAATATGGATATTATTCAACATTCATCATCATTTTATTGTGATCAAGATAATAGTTCTATTCTATCGATTTTATTAAATAATATATCGATTAATAAACAACCAATTAAATCAAATTGTTTAGATTTTGAAAATACAGAAAAATATCTTGAAGAAAATCAATGTGATTGTTGTCGTCAATATATTGAAAATGAGAAATTAACTATTAATGAAGAACAAGATGATGATAATATACTAAAAAGAAAGTCAAAAATGTCAATATATATGAATAAATTTATATGGTCTTATTGGAATAAATTTCAAAAATCTATATCAAATTTTGTTGCAGGAAAATATTTTCATCGTATTGTATTATCAGCTATTGTTATAAATACATTATCAATGGGTATTGAATATTATGAACAACCTCAATCATGAACAAATGCATTAGAATATTGCAATTTAGTATTTACATCATTATTTGCTATTGAAATGATTTTAAAAATAATTGCTGATGACTGTCTTTAATATATTAAAAATGCTTATAATTTATTTGATAGTGCTATTGTTATCATGAGTCTTATTGAATTACAAGGAAATAAAAATATGTGGATAATCGGTTTTACGTACATTTAGATTATTACGTGTACTTAAACTTGTCAGATTTATGTCAACACTTAGACGACAATTGATAATCAACCTTTTTTTCTTTTATTTTTTTCATTCGAATTACTTATCGATTCATTGATAACTATCTTTAGTAAAAATGTCATATTCAACTAATCGATTCTATTCTATTTTTGTTTTAACTCTTATCACATCCGACAGGTATCTGATTTGAGTATACTTATTTTCCATTTTTATGATAGTTTATTGAATAACTATATTCAATAATTTTGAAAGAATTTTCTAAATGTTTAGAAGTGCGTAAAAGACAGAAAATGATTGTTTAAGAAAGAATTTTCATATATAAATTTATGTTAATCTCAACTTTAGAAAAAGTTTCAATAAATAAATCTAATTGATTTTGTTTTTCGCTATAGATTGTCATGCTTAAAACAATGGATAATATGACTACATTTTTTCTCTTTATTACTTCTATTTATATTCATATTCAGGTAAGTTTAGAAGAAAAAAAACGAAACACAATAAATGTGTTTAGATATTTGAATAAAAATAAAACTCTTCTACAGTATATTGGGTACGAATCTTTTTGATTGTAAATATATTGAAGTAAAACATAGCAAACGTCTTGAATCTATGGGTTATTTCAACTGTTTTTCAAGTAAAATTTACTTCATTTTTTAATTATTCATGCTTTTCTAAAAGAAACAAAATGCTAAAGTTAAATTGTTGTTCTGCTTCTTAATGTTGTTATTGATAAATATGTCTATATTGCATTCTTGGTATGCATTTATTTGGTGATGGATTTTGTTCAATAGAAGCATTTAATATAACATCATATAAAGAAATTCATATTAAATGTAAATGTTGTACATGTTATCAAAATGATTTTTTTAAAAAATGATACTCATCTCAAAGATTTTTATTGTTTACAACAGAGAAAAAATTTTAATTCATTAGCTTTTGCATTATTAACCTTTTTTCAGGTAGCTTTTCTCGAATACTATTCTACATTATACATTATTCCCTTGAATGATATTAACACTATTTTACCTTGCAAACCAAATTTAACCTATTTACCAGCCTCATTAGAATATTTTTAAAGGTGTTTCACCATTTCTTTTTTCTAAATAGTTAATAAGAAAGAAAGAAAAAAGCGACAAAACGATTGAACTTCACCGAAGACGATGATAGAGAACGATCTTCTTCTATAAATTCTCACTGGAAACAATTTTGCATCTATTATCTTGTTTGCTCACTATATATATATGTATAGTCATTGCTTAAATTTTTGCACTATATACCTATTGTTATATGTCTGCTTGCTTAAAACACAGCTAATTACATAAGATACTAAATCGCAAAAAATATTTTTCAAATAGGTTTTAACTCAAGAAGATTGGAATGAAGTACTTTACAATGGCATGAAAAATACAAGAGTATGAACAGTTTTGTAATTTATTGCATTCATGACATTTGGAAATTATGTTTTATTTAATTTAATTGTTGCTATTCCTGTTGAAGGATTTTCCACAGAAGTAAACGAGAAAAAAAGAAATAAAATATTTTCTTTTCTATTAATTAAATTGTTGAATTAAATAGAAAATGGGTAATAATTTTGATACCGGAAGTGATTCAAATCGATATGGAAAAATTGATCCATTCAAAGTTAGAATTATTTACAGGTGATATTGATATAACTGATAATTCACATGATTTAATTAGTGATGAAACAGAAAGTCATAAACAAACAAGTCAAGATAATAAAAATACTCGAACTAAAGGTAATTAAAGAAATTAAATTTAAATAAAAAAAATAATTTAATATTATTTCAAGAAGTTAAATAAAAGTTCAAATTCAAATAATTCATCACTATATAAATCAATAATTAAAATTTGTTCATCTCAACTTCAATCATTATCATCATCAACAACACAAAGTTTTCATACATGTATTGAATCAATGGATAAATAATCTTCAGAAACTTCATTACCTATTCATAGAAATTATACGCAATGAACACTTAAAAATAATTCATTTACAACTATTTGTTATCCAAATCATAGAACATATTATTATCATAAACAAACGAATTCATCAAATCCATATCAACCATCATTAACAAGACTTTTTATTATTAAAGATAGAAAATTAATTGAACAAGATAAATATAATATTGAGAAAAT